ACAAAAGTTGATAGGTCCCACCTTGATGTGATGGTCCAGCTTGTGTATCGCAATGACTAAATGAGCAACACTGACTAGAACGCTTGTTCTCTCGAGGTCCTATAATCAAAGAAAGGTCTGTTGCATAGTAGTAAAACGAAAAAAAGTAGCGTTTATAGTGCAAATTACTACGCTATGATGTGGCTTGTAGGGTGACGTCGTACTTATGCTAGCTGGATTGGGTATGACATCAGTAAGGTGTTTCGCTTGAATGACCAACAGTGCCAGACTGCTGCTGCCTTCCCAATGGGAACGGGATACAAAATGGCTCAGTCACAAAAATAACACACCACCTGCCCTACTATCGTCCGGCTCCGGCGGAAAATGTTCTCTTTAGTTAGCGTTCGAAAAATATAACCTCAAAAAGCGACCCGCAAAAGGCTGCTGGTGACGCGCTTCATAAAAATGTCCTTTGGGCTCTGCTGTCACACAAATATTTCTCTCTCTCATGCACCCTAAGAAGAAATAGCCTTCCTCTGTGTGGGCAGATGGGAATTGTTAAATGGTATGCTCCCTGTACCATACAAGACTCAATCAAACACAATTTGCCCTCCTTTGTCTTCACTTTCTGATAACAATATTAATCTTCTTACAACTTCCTCAACCTCTCTTAAAAACCCAGCTGTTTCGGGTTAGTGCAGCTCCCCAAGTAAGTGAAGTGGTCAACACATTCCACCACTTCACTTCCTATCAGTAAACTGTAAGTACTTGCAGCAGACCAGTCCAGGAGCATCATCTTACATTTGACAGGTGCCAGCGAAGCGTATGCCAAACATACTCAGACTTCTGCTCAATACATCTGTATGCTCCATGTCAATCAGATGACATCCACAGAGTAGGTAAATCGCTGTGAAGTCAGACGTACCTAAGGTTATGTTCATTAGTACGTCTGTAGTGAAGATAAATAGGAACGGTGACAGTAGACATCCCTGGCATAAACCAACTGGTCATCAATTCTGATGGCAGCTCTACAAGCTCTTTCACGGATGCATGAGTTCCAGTACAGAGCTTTGATAAGTATTATATACTTGCTCGGTACTCCCTTCACAGTGAGACACTGCCACAACATCTCACGGTTGACTGAATCACATGCCGCCTTCAAGTCAACAAATATGACAAGTGTCGGCCATCAGCCAATATGTCTGTGTTCCAGAAGCTGTTTGAGAGTGAAAATCTGATCGATGCACCCTCCTTTAGGTCTGAAACCTGCTTGAGTTTCTCGAGTTTGTTGTAGGATCTCGGAAACTTTATTAATCAGACTGATTTCCCTATGGTTGTTGCACGGAGACTACTTTCCTTTCTCTAAGACTGGGATGATCAGTGAAGTAGACGAATCCGACGGGACTACTTCCAATTTTCATACATTACCTAGCACCTCCGTGACTTTAATTAGCAATTTCCTACCTCCATTCTTGAAAACTTCGGATAGCAACCTCTCAGGTCCTGCAGACTGGCATCGTTTCAAGTTCGGAACAAACTTCTCAACTTCAGGGAGAGTTGGAGGACCGACATTTACGTCCCATTTAGGTTCACACTGCATGCTGAGTAACTGAAGCGAAGATGAATTGTGCTTCAAAGTGTTCTATTCAACGTTCTGACCACTTGTTGTTAGATGATATCAGCTTCCCATGCTTTACAGTGATTATTTAACTAATTGTCGTTTTCTTCTTGCCAGTATTTTTTATAAGCCTAAACAGTTGCCTTGCGCTACCTAACGCTGATGTCTTCTCTACCTCTCTCGCCACCGCCACCCACCACTGCTCACGATCATTGCAGAAACACCTGGTCAATTCACGCTTATACTGCTTTCGCTCTTCATTATGGTCGGAGTCTGCTGGAATCGGTCTTTTCGCATCAATCATTTCGAATAATGTTGAGGGAATCTAATGAAGTTTGCTAACCTTCAGGTGTAGTTTAACGTCTTCACCGCTGTTTGTGTAGAAGACTGGTTATAACTCCAGATTTCCTTATGATCAGCATTGCCGTCATGCTCAGATAAATGCTTAACTGAAACCAATTATGTCATCACATATGCATCTGAAGCTAACAGATGCGTTACGATTGAGACATTCCACAGTATTCTCTGTCTGGAAGAATCCACAAAGTTAAAAGCTGTCCTCATGCTCCGTCCAGAATTTAAGCAGATGAAAATAAGATACTTAAATGGGTCTCTTGTCATAGATGAAGTTAAGACGCTCACATCATATATTGACCATGCAGGCATGTTTGACCAAGTCATCGATCGCCTGACAATTATAATATTCAAATGCAGGTATTTAATCCGAAAGAGAGAGGATTACTCTCCAAATATTTGGGACAGAATTCTGTTTTAGAAAAGTAAACCTTTAGAGTTCTTTGGTAGTATAAATTTTTATAACGATCATGTTCTGTAGTGCCAAATTTTCTCAAAAGTACGTAATTTTGTCGCATCAACAAGCAATTTGAGGTCAACAAAAAACAGGTTTTCATTCTTTTTGAACCATGACTTAAATGTAACGGCTGTGAGCAAGTCAAAATTGAAGTCTTGGGTTGAAGGAATAAAAGGACCCATGTGAGATAATTCACGTTGTATGGATGTTAATGCCGGTTGTATATCACACAGCTATTCAGTAAGTGCCCCAATGGTTCTCATAGTTGTTATCTTGTTGCTCCACCAATAAATGAAGTTAATCAAAAGGAATGGTTGCCATAATTCCCTAAATGCGTACATGACGTCCTCATTTTCCAATCGAGTATAGACACACATGAAATCGATGGCGGGGTCTTAAGAGACTATATATGTGACTTCGATTATTTGGATTATTGCCATTGGTGGTAAAGTGAGAGGTTGAGAAAGTTGTAAGAAGATTAATATTGTTATCAGAAAGTGAAGACAAAGGAGGAGATAGATTTGAGGAGGGCAAATTGTGTTTGATTGAGTCTTGTATGGTACAGGGAGCATACCATTTAACAATTCCCATCTGCCCACACAGAGGAAGGCTATTTCTTCTTAGGGTGCATGAGAGAGAGAAATATTTGTGTGACAGCAGAGCCCAAAGGACATTTTTATGAAGCGCGTCACCAGCAGCCTTTTGAGGATTGTGAGATGTGGTTTCGAAGATAGTATCGGCGTGGAACTGCTGGTCGTCCAAGGGAAGCACCTTATTATTGTCATCCCGGCCAGCTGTGTGACTTCGCCCTACAAGCTCTATCACAACGGAGCAGTTTACACTAAAACGGTAACTGTTTCTTGTTTTACAATTATCTAACAGACCTTTGTAGCATGGTAGAACCTCACGAGAACAAGCATTTCAGTCAGTGTAGCTAGTCGGCTCATTGAGATATGCAAACCCGACCAACACGCGAAGGCGGCACATACCACAGACGTAACTGTGGAGGTTCCCCTCCCGTCGTCCCAATTTACAGAGATTGACCTTCTGAGAAAATCTTTGGTAGGTCTACAGTATGCAGATGACATCGTTCTGTTAGATGAAGACATGACAAGATGAAAAATTTTCTGGACATCTTAAGTTGCAATTTGAGAAGGCATGTCATGTTTCTCACCACTCAAAAGGAAATCGTTACTCCAGGACTAGTCTTCAGTAATGCCCCACCCGGCTAACTTTAAATAGTGAAGTGGCTGAACACTTCACTTACCTGGGAAGTCGGATCAGCCCTGGTGGGTTAATGGCCGGTGAAATCTCAGCACGGATACAGTCTTGATTTGCTTTCATCAACCGACGTCACTTAGGGTCAAGTGTACTGTGCTACAGTTCTCTGTTCTACTCTATGGTTGTGGAACATGGCCATTAAAAGTACATACGAGGTTTCAAGTTTTTGACCACCGTTGCCTTCGTAGCACTGGCGGTGTGTCATGATGCCACAACGTCAGTAATGGGGGTGGCTCATTGGTTTGGAGAGTTAACTTTCAACTCATGGGTCATGGGTTCAAACACTGCTCCACCTACCGAGGTTTGAGCACCCAGGTAGTATCCTTAAGCATTACATAACAGATGTGGCTCATTGCCTACTGCATGAATGTGCACGAGGTTACTGAGTGGATTCAGATTCTGAAGTCAGTAAGGCGGAATTCGGGTGTAGAGTTTTACGGAGGATAGAAAATTTAGTCGGTGAGGTTACGAATGACCATTGACTCAGGTGGCTAAGACATGTGTTACACATGTCTAGTCATGCTCTGTCTTGTCGGGCAATGTTGACTGAAGAACGTTATGGCTGGATAAAGTCATGTCATTGAAGCCTTTGTTTGTTGGTAAGAAACATGTTGAAAAATGAAAAGTAGCCGGTTGAACTCTGTATGATAACAGTAGTCGGAGTTTAGAAACCCTTGGTGACACAGCTGGAAACAGACGTCAGTGGCGCAAAGGTATCCGAGTATTACTCTTATCTTAACAGTTATACCCAATTCAGAATCTTTTATTCCCTTTTTTTCTCTTTTTACTACTTTCCAGTATTTTATACTGCTTACTTTATTCCTGATCTTCCCGATATAAGGTGTGGCAACTTTTACACAATGTTATCAGGTTTCTACGGTGATACTGTCTCCATCTACGGTCTTCAAGATTAGGTGAATAAATCACTCCAAGCCTAGTGATATGACTGGAGGTCCGTTGCAATAGCCAAAAAATGTACCCCCTAAAAAATTTGACATTTTTCCACCCTTCAATTACTGATCCGACACATATTCCAAAACTGGCGAAGCTCCTTTCTGATTCAAATACTGTGTTGTGAGGTTCAACTACCCGAACTAGTGCATGAATTTCTAGGCATGATTTACAAACATGTTTTTAGTATTGTTGATCAAAATAAACCAACCATTAGGCTTAGTACTAAAAGGGTAATCATAAGCAAGCTATCCACATTGAAGTTCGTAGTTATAAACAAAGTTGTACATGTTGTAAAAGAAACGAAGTACTCCTCGTTCATTTAAATGTTACAACGTAAAATTTCACAGCATCCCTTACCGTATGCCCGGGCGCTCTCTTCTTCAAATTCGGAAGATAACAGGGACTGCCATGTTCAAATCGAGTGAAAAGCTGTGACACCAGCTGGTAATGCCAACACAGGAGGCCTGACAACTTGTTTGCATGTGAACGCATATGAAATATGCTGTAAGGGTACTGAAAATAAAGAGTATCTTTATTAATTTAACCACAGACTCAATGTTTAAACAAACACATTCCTTAAGATAAACATATCTGCTAGTACGATATAAAGAATAACTCCAACTGAAAAACCAGAGCCGGACTCCATCAAAATATGAGTATAGGCGTCAGAGATCTTTCATATGCGAAATTGATGACAGAGGGAAAACAAGGAAAAGTCAGTGGATATCAACTAGCAACAACTGAAATTAGACACCTGGTAGATCAGATCACGACGAAACATTGAAAACAAAGGAAGATTAAAATTAGCAACTGAGTTTGGAGATAGGAGACAGCTTTTGGAGAAAATCCCTGACAAAAGTATTTTTAAATTCACTGACTGCTAAGATTAAAAGGGTTCTGTCAAACAATTACTACTGTTAAGACTTCATAGCACCTGCAAATGGGTCAACCATATTCAATAATTAAGCTGAGTCACGATGCGAAACCCTACTGGCATATCACTACAGTACAGCACTTTTAAAGTGCGGCTGTCAAATATAATGTATGAGAACGAAACAGTCAACTAATCGGTAAGCTAATAGGTGATGCAAATAATGTACTAGTCTGTGTATATACGTTCAGACAACATTAATCCGATTTGACACGAAAACATTTCGAAATACCACTAAGGAGGATAGAGTGGTAATGAAACCAGCCAAAAATACACCCGAGGCCATTATTATAACACGAGCTAATAATAGACCGGATTGTATGTATCCGAAACAGCATCACCAGCCATGGAGCGAAAAACACAACCTAAAGACGTTCTCTTTACTTGTAACCCTTAACGTACTACACTACAGATGAACCATGTCACCACTTTCCACACACAATAAACACAAATAAAAAAATTTGAAAGTGTTGAACAAGAAAGTACAAACATTTTGCAGTATTTATTTAAAATTTCTTGATATCTAACGGTTCATTGAAGCGCACTAGCTGTTTATACAGCTCAATGTCTGTGAAGTTAACTTCTGAAATATATAATGGCACACCTTTGGCCGTGATGCTAGCCATAGTGAACATTGATTCAGCATACTTCACGTCTTCAGCAGTAAACTCCAACTTCTTAGTGTTTAAGAGTATTCCTTTTAAGTAAGCAGTGAATACTTTACTGTCCTGACTGTAATATAATTCCGTAACATGACTGCGAGTTAATATATGCAACAAAGCTGGAGTGGATAGTGAGAAAACAAGACCACCAAATAAAGCCACGGAGAAAATTTTTACGTCAGAGATATGTGAGAACAAAAAAGGTTGTAGGAGAATAACAATGGAACTGGATAGTAATGAAAACGTTTTAGCTCCCAATACAAGTTTACGATGAGGACTTTTGTACACTAAAGTCGCTCTGCTTTCAACATTTGCTGGCAGATGACAAGTGGTATTTATCTTCCTGGAAGTTATTGACCAGTTGGGTATAACATTACAGGTAGTGAGTGCATGTAGATAATAACTACTTAGGCTTCGAAGCTTCAGATTTAAGAAGCGCATCATTCAGTTTAACGCCAATTCAATTTATCCAACATCCAACAACAATAGTGCGAGTAGAAGAAACTTGCAGTTTTTGAGCCCTCACTTCTAAGTCTTAAGGCTCGGTTATTTTTGTTTGGTTGTACTCCTTCCATGGTCACAGAAGTCTTTGCGTTTCCCTGATTACAGCTTTGGAAGTAGTGATTGTCTATTTGAAGGTATTTTATTTGCAAATTGTAGCTTGGTTTGCTTTGGGGGCCAACAGAGGTGCTGATAAGATCAATCAACCGTTTGCAAATCCTTTTTTGCAAGCACCTGCAATTAAGTGCTAGGCATCACTTAAAATGTGCTAGAAATGGGGTGAGTGGGGAAAGAGAAAAAGAGGAGTGAAAGTACCTATGAAAAAGTGAGTGCTACTGGCAATGGTATGTAGGAACGATGTGTCTTATTGCAGATACTAGGGTTGGAGAGTACCGGGCAGAAGGGCGTATCATCACTTGGTACTAACAAGTGTTCGTGCTAAGCTATTCGCACTCACATACACATCCAGTAGTCGTTTGGAAGAGTGGCCACTTCCTTCGGTATACCGTTTCAGAAGACATACCATGTATGGGGAGAAGTTAGATCTCACCCTCATTTTCGCCCTATGGTAGTTACATCACCTAGGATTTCTCCGGGTTAAAGCTTAAACCATTTGCAGCTGACCAGGACTCCAGCTGCAAAAGTATCCTAGGATCTTCTTCCCCACCTATCGTCCTTCATATTTTGATACCATCAGCAAATAGGAGGATGGACGAAGAGATTTTGGTGGGAAGGTCACTTGTGAAAAGTAAACACTGGAGCTGCTTGAGGTTCGCCCTATGAGAAACTCCCGCCCTTGTATTCCTCCAGGTTGATCGAATTCTGTTTACCTCAATGCAGAATTCTCCGTCCTCTATGTATGCTGTAAACGATGCTATGAGTAGTCTAGTGATACCCACTTTCGCAACTTTGGAGAGCATGGCACTTTATGAGACACCGTCGAAAGCTTTTGCGAAGCTCAAGAAGATAACGTGAACTGGATGTTTGTTGTTTCATCCAGTGGTCCAGTCATCCCAAAGGGTCATCAAGATTGTGGCACATGACCGTCCGGTTTTAAACCCATACTAAGTGGGATGAACGATGCTGCTTCCTTTCAGGTAGTCCAGAACAACATCTGCTACCAAGCTAACCAGTACCTTGGAAAGTGTCGGGAGTAGTGGTATTGATCCGCATTTGCACTGGTTTTTTCGTTCCCCCCCTTGAAGATTGGTGAAATGATGGCGCGTCTCCATTCTTTTGGCTGTTGACTCACCTCCGACGAGTGCGTGAATACGCTACATACGGGTACGCTTATCACTTCGGAACAGTTGCATAGGACTACCGGTTAAATATAATCACAGCCCGGTGATTTCCCTACTCTCTGTGTTGAAAGTTTCTCAATCACTCGGGTTGACGCATCTTCACATTCATCAGCTTTGTATCACAGTCCTGATACTTATTTATATCACTAGACGTTGATATAGATGCATTACTGAATTCAGTCGCTCTTCAGATCAACCGTTCAGCAGTTTCGCTATCTCACTTCTGTTCATAGGTTCTCCAACCGACCTCGTAAGCAGGTTTAAACCCTTATTCGTCGGTTTGCGTTGTGATATAAACCTATATAGACTTTTCCGGTTGTAACCCAAGTGTTTGGCCAGGCTACTCCGGCATGTGTACCTGTCATTACGAATTCTTGCATTACATAAGTTGCGTAACACCTTGTATCTAAAAAGTCTGATTCTTTGTGTGATGTACGCCGCCGATACCACACCTTCTTTTTCCTCTGTATTCGCTTTTGGGTTGTGCGAATTACCCAAGGCAGTGTGAGGGGTGGCCGCCTAGTTAATTTCGGAACACTTTTCGATAGCGCTCCAGATAATATCTGTAATATGTATCCAGTGTTCGTCTATGGATAGTGAGTGCCATTCTTGTGATCATGCAGCCTCCAGGAGACCATTGTCCATGAGGTGGTGGTCTGCTTTTCGGTAACCGCGGGGCGCTTCCGGCCCAACTATTGGTAGTTTCTCCCTGGTTGTCGGGTAGAATCTCACCAAGGTGTGGTGGCTTTTACCTGAAGGGGGGGTTGGAGGCAGATGTCGTCCACCAAAAGACCATCTCCCGTTAAAACGTAGTCAAGTGGTGATCCTTTTCCATCTGGCGTTTTCCCCAACCTCCTCTACCAGTCCTCCTGCCATAAACGTATTTCGAAGTTTGTGTTCGAAAGACTTGTGGCCATATAGTACTTCCCATCCCAAGTTGAGTCCCGGTGTGTTAGTCCGCAGCTAGTACTACATGGTCATAGGTTCCCGAGGTTGTTGTTGAAACGTCACAGAGAGATTGTGCCTTATGTCCTGTCATGCAAAGGGGAGGCCAATATGCCACTGCTAATGGGTTTTAAGTTTGGTCTACGGTGAAATGGCACCATAAGGGGTCTAGTAGTAGGCTGAACACAACTTAAGTCGCTTTCATGACTCTTAGATGAATCCTGATATGCATGGCAAATCCTCTGCATGCTTTGAACTAACTACCTTTTCCGAAACAGGTCATTTCGCTCAATTTTCTAGTCCGCCAGCTGGTGATATCTTTTCACGGCATTATGTAGGCCCATTATTCGGTCTTGTAGAGGGTGCCATGTCGTGAGAGCTTCTGTTAGTGATGCTTTGCAGTCAGAGCGTACCACTAGCAGTCTTTGCGGGGAAATGTTCTGTAGGTGCGTAGATCTTCGTAACGTACTCACCCTTCTGGCAGACAACATTTGAAGTCCCATTTTTCCCACTAGCCACCTCCACTGCTCGATATCATGGAGGTAATTACCATACTCTGTTGATCCACCCACCGATTCGGGAATTCCATGCACCACCGTGGTTGCAGCTTTGTGCAGACCTCTAAGCAGGGACCTACTTTCCACCTCTCTGGTCGCCAAAGGTCTATCGCAATAAACTTGAAGTATTTCATCTGAAGAGAGGTAATTCTTTAAGTACTATGTAAGCTAAATGGCCGCCCAACTCTGAGTGGATGTATTAAAAAACCGACAAGACTAAGTTGGGGGTCTCTGTCGTTTACATTCCAACATGATTTTGCAAGCCACTGTAGGCCACTCAGTTTCCTCACGTCTGCTTCTAGATCTTGAGGAACGATCCTAGGCATTTGGTGGATTCCAATTCAGTGGGTTCCCCTGCCCACCGGCTGCAGCTTTGGTTGAACCGACCGGCGATTAAGCGTTGACCAAATTTGTGGGACTACGGTTTGTCCAAAGACTACGGTGCAGATGAGTTCCTCAAATGGCGTTTCACCAGACAGTTGTCCGGGCTGCCAGTAGAAAGAGAAGGGGAGAGCGAAAAAGATGTCCAGCAAAACCAAGAGAGAGGATGTGCAAAAATGAGGTGAAAAGAAACGGAATGGAAGGGGAAATTAGGGGAGAACTATAATAAATTGGGTCAGAGGGAGGGGAAGGTGAGCTTAAGATCATAGGAAGGATCGTGGGGACAGAAACAGTAAGGTTATCAGCAGGCTTAGTTGGTTTTATTGCCTTAGTCTGTATCCCGTCCGAAAGAAGGCCAGCCTTCCATCATTGTGGAGCTTTCCAACCTCCTCTTGAAGTTAACAACAATCGGAGCGGTAGTAATCCCCGCAGACAGTGCGTTCCAGCAGCAGAAAACTCTCAAGAAGGAGAAGTGTAAACACAGACGGATTCTCACACTTTGAGGGGCGATTCTTCTCGCACTATCATAAAGGCCGACACAGTGGTCATTGAGTAGGATCCCATTGTTAGTAGGACTTGAAGTACTTTTTATTTTGCGAGCCCTTGTCAAGTCGGTGCGTAGCCTATGGTGGCTAAGACAGTAAAGTCCTAGGTCTTACGGCCCGTCTTCACAGGCTTTATGCCTCATCCCCGCAACAGTCTTCATGGCCCACATCCGGGCTTTTTCCACGAGGTTCACACCCTTTTTTAGGTGTGGTGGTTTAATAATGATATTAACTTCTAAGTCAGTTCGTATATAGGTCTTCTACAGCTTCAGAGGAGAGGTCATTCAGCTGTCTGATCATGAGGCGTAGTGCTGCATAGGCTCTGGAGACATCCCCTGAGTAATTGGGGCTGGTTTCTAGCCCGTCAGTCATTGTCAATCCCGGCCCTTCTCCGTGTTAGTGTAGGAAATTTGCGCACCATATGGAAGATGGGATGCTTTCTGTGAGCCCGTGGTGCGGGAAAATATTGTTTGGCACTTATCCAGGTTGAATGCTAATATTTTGTCCTTCACCCACCCTGAGGACAATATGAGGTCACCTTGTGATGCACTTGATTCTGTCTTGGAGGTCACGGCTCTCCTGACATCGTCGGGGTGAAGTAAAATCAGTAAACTGAGGCCCGGGGGAAGATCATTTGCGAAAAGAAGGGACGGCAGTGGACTCAGATTCACTCACCGTCGCACACATGCACACACACACACGATGATGACGTCCCCCAAGTCCAGCAAACCCTGTGTACTTCTGTGCAAAATTCTCTGCTGTCTAAATAGTTCACTGCCCAGGGAAGCCCCTGTCGCTGATATCCAAGCTTACTAATTTGCGTTTGAGGCTGTCAGAGGCTTTAGTAGAATCCCGGAATATCATATGGACAGGGACTTAAAGAGCTCAGCATACCGTCGAATTGCCACCAGCCGCCAGAATGTTTGAGGCTCAGGACCAACGTTTTCGGAAACCGTGGTGAGTTTCTCTTAGTGCCATCCTCTTGTGCAGGTACTCTAAGACACAGTCGTCTACGAGACTCCCCTCTGCTTATGGCGGCACTGGTAGAAGTATTGTAGATCGACACCATTCCGGGTTCCATCCGTCTTCCCGTTTGAAGACGGAAGAGGGAACAGTGCGTTCTCACTCTCACAGGGGCAGGTATTCGCATAAGGAGTGTTAAAATAGGTTGCAAAGTGGACCACATAAGGCACTCGCAAATTGTTTCAAAACAGGCGGCCGAGTGCTGTCACGTCCC